GCCTTTTTGATTGCTGCTCACTTGTCACCGAAAAGTAGTTTCTAACCCAATCGTTTGCGAAAAGCAGCCGGGATCTCATATAGATTGGACTCACTGCATCAGGCTTAACTTATGTATGTAGGTTTCCGTTAAGGTACATATGTGCGTTATTTGAAGGCCATCATCACATGGATAACTGTATTTAGACCTCTGTTGTTCACCCTTCTTCAAGAAAATGTGGACTACTCGGTAGTACTTGTCAGAGAAATAATTCGGTAAATATATAACACATATATAAAATGCTGGATATGAAAAAAATTAAAGTGTGAATTACTCGGTGGCGGTGGTTTGGAGAAATAATTCAAAATTTGGTGAAATCAAAACGTGTGTTTGTTCTCTATTTATACAGCGAATTATGGTATTTAGTTTCAAAAGCTATTATTCCAGAGCCTACACTGTTTTCGTGCTCATAACACAATTCTTTCTGCCGTTCTTGATTATGTTCTATTGCTATTCAAGGATTTTCAAGCACCTCAGGCGAAGAACGCAAGCAAGAATCAGGTGGGCTTCCCATATCAATTGTCTTTAATTAGTTTATAACCAGGGACCTGTAATCACCCATCACCGGAAATTGATAAGCATTTACCGTCGTGTCGGCATAAGTGTGCTCTACTGTATCGTTTTTCTAGAAAAATGAATGAGCGATCATTGATTTTGACGGCGTCAATGCCCGTACTGACAACGGTGAAGCGAAAAATGGACGGTCAAATGGACATGCTCGAACAGGTGAGGCTGGTCGGTCCATTCTCCCTTCCCTCCCCCCCCCCATCGCCCAGTTGCGATGCGGGCGAACATCAGAGAATAGAGTGACTTATTACGCGAGTGAGCACATCGATATTCCTTCCCACTCCCTTTAATTCCCATCATTCTGATCCTCTTCCATTCATCTCATCTCTACTATCCATTCACTCACTCACACTCTTTTTACTTACTCAAAAGAGGAACTCGCGACTGCATAGTTGGGAGACAAGCGGACCTCCTGAGGGTGCTGACCGATGCGCAATAGGCAGCGAAAGAGCTCACTCCTGGCGCGGTTGGCGAGGCACGCCCACCGACTATCTAGTCACCCGCCGCGGAGAGTGATTAGGTAGCAGAGAGAGCGTAGTGTCGAAGATAGCACAGCGGTGAGAGTTGCACAAATGCAATGAATGAATTTCGAATGAATGAATGAATTTCATCGTGAATTCTGTCTTCAATTTGAAATCATATAGAGGGTGTGTGAGCCTGGAACATTTATGCCTTTAGTCGGAGATTAATGGATATTCATCATACATTCATGCTTCATCAAGCATATTTACCTTAGGTGGAGATAGGAGGGGGGGGGCAACTATTATGCTATTTGGTTGTATGTTTGATCGAGTAGCGTGAGTAGTATGTGCCCCGATAGCTAATATATGGTCACAGATCATATTCTTCAGAAGCTTTCGTGGGAATGTCTAAGCTTCATAGTGTCTTATGTTATGCCCAGAAGCTCTATAGCTCCTACGTCATTGAACACTTTCTATGTACAGCTTATGAAGGATAAAATAATCTCGGCTATAATCCGTTCCATATTCAGAACACACCAGGCACTTTTCCTCTTATATCGTGACATCATTCTTTGAGTTCCTGCGCTATCCCCTTCATGGAGCCTACTGGCGCCAGTTGTGCAATAAAAGAAGCATACGGTATCTCTTGATTCCTATTCGAGATGCCCTACACTTTCGACCCTTATTCGGAATCGTTGCGAAATCTGAAATCGTATTCGTCCCTAATAAAAACTTTCGAGAACAGCCTGTGTAAATCTGTCATCATTGAAGGTACAACCCGAGCAGAAGTAGGGTGAATGATTCCCTGCGCTATTCGGCCTGATGATGGGACCACTGAAAGGACAAGCCACAAATGCGGGACAGCCGCACATGAAAATTTTCTGAGAAGGGCATTAGAGCCCTGAAACTTCAGGGATCAGATGTGATACGACGGCGAGACAGGGCGATCAAATAAGACAAATACGCAAAAGAGCACGCCGCTCCAGAGAGCACGCTGATCTCTACATAAATGGGTAAGGGTAGAAGCGTTGTAAGCGGGGGGTCGATGGCCTGAGACCCGTAATTGTTAGCGCCCTGAGTGCGCAAGTTGTGCGACGACGCTGACATGATGGCGTAGGTATGGACCGCTCAATTTTCCTCACCATATCCTTCCTGCTTGCTAGCGGCTAATCTCGGGTCCTCGAATGAATCCTAGCATTTTCGGGATTACTCGGCCAGCGTCGTTTCGCCACTGGCAATACTTATCGGTTTGACCCTGAGGCATTCTTTAACAAATCAGGGGCTGTGCCAATTTTTCGACCAGCGGAGCGGCGGCAAGCTCGTCTGGCCTAGGCGAGTTTTGATTCGCAGTTTACCGTGGACTACGCTGCCGCTTGTCATAATCCCAGCTCGAGCACTGCAATAGTCCAATTTTTCATATCCTCTGAGCTGAAGTTGAAAAATACCAAAGGAAATGGCACACATTCTATGCTTTGCAATAAATTGTTGACTTTACTTCAAGCATCATTGTAAAAGAATTTCAGTGTCGACAACGATGCATTCTGCTTCGAAAGACTCGTCGAAATACGGTAGTGTTGGTGCTGATGGTGTTGTTCTTCTTCATCTCATGGTTCCCACACAACGTCGTTTCCATGGCTTTGGAATTCACCGATGGCGAAGCGTTTCTCATTCACGATACAGACTACTCATATCTCGCCAGCCTCATGTCCCACAGGTAAATAACTACCTATGTTTTAGACACTCAGCAGGGAATGGGGGGCCGTGGACCGTTTTGAAGAGTTGACCCAACTGTCATATTTAGTGGATCGGAAAGGAACTGACCGCCTACCACTGAATGTTTATACATCTCATACTGTAGTAATTTTTTGTTCTCTGCGGCCACCCCATTCCTTAACTTGCCCTATTCGTTTTTGTGGGAAGCGTCTGTGAAAATTTACCCCCCTATCAATTTAATCTTGATTACATTT